AGAATATTAATAAACATTCCACATCTTCAAATGCATGTTTATTAACTAAAATATTTAACACTTTTAAGACGATTGCCGATTATGCAATCTCACACCTCTTATGTCGTTTAAGGAATAATTGCATCTAATTTATGTTTAGACCTCTTTTACGAATGCTTTGGTTTTCACAATACACCTTAAATTGTCAATATCATACAGCTATTCACTATGTTTTTATAAGTCAGAACATTCAATACTCAAAACAGAATCATACACAAATCAGGTTAAACGTTGAAATACCTTTTTTATAGTCACCAAAACAAATTGCATTTTCTCAATGTAACTTATTTAGGCTCCATGGCAAGAAATAGTTTATTAATCAATATGAAGCAACTGTTTCATGAAGAAACTGTCTGTAGCTTTATTTAAATGGTTTTAACTAACAGCTGTAGGAATGTTATTATTATTTATTGCCTTATCTGCAAAAATGTAAACAAATAAATGTTGAATATTTGAGGTTTTCAGCATTTTTCACACAAAAAAAATATTTTTATTAAACATAATGCTATATAAGGTACCAAATAGAAACTCTCCTGGTTATTTTGGTGGTGGAACCACGCTGATCGGTAAGAGAATCACAGATAAATTGGTGAACATACATAGAAAAAAAAAACATCGCCACAGACAAATTGAGAACCTCCTCCTTTTGTTGGTAGTGGGGAAGTCGGTTAAAAACCAGTAAATCCAATTATGTTAATTTTTGACCACTTTATGAACCTAAATATTGCCTTACATGATGCTTTTAAATATAGCATTTAAAAGAGATTAAATATATTATTTATGTTAGAAAATAGTTCTTAAGACTTTGATGCCCTTTAAAGTTTTAAAACCTACTAAAGTTAAATCGTTTGAACATAACAAATATAGTTCAAGTTTCCATTCCTTTTAATTGAAATATATTTATGATAAACTTATCTTTAAATGGACCATGCAAACAGTCAGTTATGATCATAGGCAGATGTGCCTACGCCGTTAAATGATTAAACTTTTAACACACTGCATTATTGGAGTTTCAACGAATCTTAGAACAATCGTGGTTTTATGATAAGTTGAAGGTTGTCGACCAGAGCAATTGTAGCATCTTGTTCATCATATTGCTGGTTATTTTATGTTGGTTGCTAATTAGTAGAATTCTCTTTAGAAATAAATTTTAAGGCCGTTGTTAAGTATAATACTTCAAAACTTATACCTCTTTATCAGAGAAAGATATTTTTTATTTAGGTTAATTTGTGTACTCACTCGTTCTTGATCAATTATTATCAATAATTATCTATTGAGATTGGGACGCCACCGAGGTGCGTATTTTTCCCAAATATGAGTGAATAATGGTCGTGTTGAATACAGTGAGATGATAATAGCTTTGTCACTGATTACGATCAGCTGTTTCATTAGTCAGGGGCATTTGATTTCAAGTCCAATTATCAGGAACAGTTGGGTCAAGTTTCAATCCATCAAAAAGATACTACGTTTTCTCAGAATCGATTCGTCAACCTTTTCATTGTTAAACGAACACGATAGTCAATATTCAGAAAATGTATAATCTTTTGAATTAAAGCACGAACTAATCGACAATCTGCTTCAAAGTGCTATCACGTTAAATGAAAATGAAAGTAGTTCATGGTCACTGATGTAAAATGATAAACTCCTTGTTTGGAATTGTATACCAAATTGCACCTTCATATGGGACGCTTGCAATGTTTTGACATACTTCTTCTGTATGTTCTTTTCTCAAGTACTTATTTTTTTAGCAAATTTTCCATATAGGGAATAAGCTATTTAAATCTTTGTCTAAAAATAAATAATTAATAAAATGTAAACTTATAAAAGTGGCATTCTGTATCATAATGAAGCATCGTTCCCCGTTATAGTAAATAACAGTAAATCAACAGTGATGACAAATTAACAGCAAATGAGAATACCGAATTTAGCTATTCTAGTTTGTGGAGTATTTAATAGCCAACCGTCAAATTCTATTAGGTCAGGATCGAACCAGTAAGTTTCAGATTGAGGACGATCACTTCATTCAGTCGGTTACCTGTTCGTGATATCATATAGTTTCATATTTTTATGTCAGTGTTTTCTATTTCACAATGCAAATGATGTTAATCGTGTAATTTATTCCGCGTTACAGTACAGCATGCGAGTAACGTAATGTAAGGGGTGAGGTATGCAAAATGAGTGCAGCGATCATATTGCCTGCCTGATTGTGAAGGAGCTACCTGGTCTGCTTAATGCTTACCTCTTCTCCTATGTAGGCCTACTGCACTCAATAGAATTAAACCTATGCACTTTATTTTATTTAGTAGGGTGATCACAAATACAAAATATCAGTGATAGTGATATTTAGTGGCCATGTCTGAACTACACGTGACTAACTGTTACAGTACTATAGTTGGTATTTGATTGAAACCCATTCTCTGAAGACAATTTTATACGGTAACACAAGTTTATCACACTCAATCCTACGCTCAAAATCTATAGTTTATCTGTTTTATTTTTATGTTTTATGTATTTTTGTATGCTACTGTTCATACATAATTCAAATAGAAACAAGTTCATACAGGATTCAATGTGCATATGCAAGATCTCAATTAATAACTACGTAAACAAAATAAAGATAATGAATAATTGTTTTGTATGTCCTCGTTTTCCTAGCGTTTGTGATTTTTTACGCGAAAACCAAACATACATAGTGTGGCAAGAGTTACATAGTAAAAATAAGTTTACAATAATTATCCAGGTATTCTATATTATAAGATTTGAAAACATTTTTGCAATATTCTTAGTCAAAATAACTAAATATTTCTTAAGAAACAATTCCTGGACTGTAATATTATTAAAGGACTAACCATTGACTACATAACCACAACTGTTGTGGTTATATAGTCAACTAGCTGTACCCACGGGCTTTGCCCCGTTTAACTTCATAAGTATTCGCATGGCTCAATCACGTCCCGGTTGAAGTTCGTTCGCTACGCTCACTCACCTTTAGGTTGGAGCTCGTTCGCTGCGCTCACTTGTTTTCAGGCTAGCTCGTTCGCTACGCTAACTCGCCTCCAGGTTGATGTTCGTTCGCTACGCTCACTCACCTTTTGATTGCAAATTAGCTGTTGTCATAAATTTTAAAAAGTCATCCCTTTTATTGTTTATAATACTTTGATAAAGGTTTTTATGTTTTAATATTTAACATTGGAGAATTTAAACGTTATTAAGTGCACAGGTGTGCTGCGATTGGGGTTTAATACATTTGGACTTATTCAAAAGTAAAATAGTTTTCTGTGCTGCACTCTGTAGAAACACTGTGGCACTATTTCAAATCATGACTAATGCTAATACAGAATGTTGTAATTATTCAAACCTACAAAACAGTTGGTAAAAGTAAACATCTGCTTTTAAATTATATTTATTTGTAAACATTGTAGATCAAAAAGTCTGACATTGGCCCACTTAAAACCCTCTGGGGCAGAGCCCTTTTGATAGATCTGCACCAAACTTCACTCGAACCATCCTTGAAAGATGCTTAATAATGCCTGAAAGTTTCATTACAATCTGTCGAGCGGTTTCGGAGTCCATAACGTATATACATACACACACACACACACATACATAGTTCCTCTTTTATAGATATAGATGGACTAACTGTACCCTGTGAAATAATGAACGCACTAGTGATTCAAAACCATAACAAACTAATCAACAGTCATGGATCAGTAAGAATAAGAGAAGCTGGCAGTTGGCATTTTAATTTTATCACTTGAGACTAGAGTTATTATATTGTTTTTAAATTGCTTTGTTGGTGTTGATGTTATATAAACATTTAGGAGATTTGCGTGCTTATAAACATGTGTCTATGTTAGATTAACGAAGATAGTGATACTTGCGTTTTATTTTGCTTTTAGCTCATTGTGGAAATAATGAGTTGTACGTAAGAGGCGAATGAGTTGTATATATTAGTTACACGTAAAGAGGAGTAACTAAAATCAAAGAATATTGGTAAAACATATATTGGGATCCTTACTTTAAACCAAATGTCATAAAATTCTGTATACATATATGTATATATATGGTATATATAAATTTTAACGAACGGTGTTTTTGGCCTCTGGATACATCAAAATGAAAAAGTAAATCGGTCCCGGGCCTAGGTCTTACCATGCCACCTACGGTAATAGCTACAGGCTAAAAAATAATACAATAAATAATAATAGCTATAGGGGAATTCGCTAAAAAAACATTATTTCTATTTCTTGTACTTTATATTCTATGACTTTCCTATGCTCCCATAGTTTGCAAATTGGCTCTTTCAATGATTGCTAAAAAAATGCAAAGTGTTAATTCAGTTTTCATTTTTGGATATCAAATTGTCCCGGCTTTCTCACTTTTTTCCATTGTAATATTTACACCAACCAAAATTCAAATAGTAAATATAGTAAATATTTTATTTCAACCAAGTCAGTAAAAGTTTGTAGCACAAGTTTCCTTAATTGCAACTAAATATTAACAGGAATTAAATTATCCAGCTGATTACTTGACTTTAAAAGCCACTGGGACAGAGCCCAAAGGACTTTTTCAAAATGTAAGGTCAGTTTGAAAATAGACGAACAATTTTGTATATAATTTGTGGGGTTAAATCTTAAAACAAAAAAGCCTTATTGTTCACAAAGTTTCATGTAGCGTATTAACAATATGGATTTCATTTAACTAATCAGTACAATTTAGTTTTGATTCTTAAGTAAACTATTACTATTTAACACAGCAGATCTGAATAACCAAATCGTTCTCTTCTGCGTCCTATTCCCATTGGCGAAATGGGAACAGTGATTAAAATAATAACAACAAGGGTGATATAAATAAGCAAAACAACAGTTTTTGCTATTTATATTTTGAATAATTGATAAGCCAGTGTTTGATATGCGTGTTTAACGGTTTCACGGCTATTGCGCCATCGAGGGTGTGGCAGCATGGCTCAATCACCTCCGTGTCCGACTCTAATGGCTCCAGGTATTAACTAAACATAACTAATCACAGCCAGAAACAGTCACATGATGGATGGAGGTCGGTGGCTCGGAGGCTCGGAGGCCGTTACAGACATACAGCTCCTACTGCGTCATTAGCTGTAATTATGTTTGTCTTGTCAAGGGATGAATTGTTACGATCGTTTAGTTGATGTGATATTTCCTTATCTACAATTGTGTATTAAATGTTCAGTACAAAAAAGGAAGGTGGGTTGATTTGTTTATTATCTTGGTATTTACTGAGCTGATTTTACTTACTTTCTAATCGATGTTAATCAAAAGTGATTTTTTATTGTTAACATTTAGTGTTCTTCTTTAAAAACTTATGGTAATTATGTTTCATCTGAATGTTTTTTCACATCTGAACCAATAAGTACGAAACAATATTGTTTTATAAGAAAAAGTAAAACATTCATAAATGCAGTATCCGAAAAATAAACCTCCATAAAGTAAATTATTTTATTCGAAAGAAATTTTAAAATGACTTAATTTAACTTTTAGTTCCACACGATTGTAAAATTGAAACATAAACCTTGGAGTTACTTAAGAAAAAGATTATAAAAGTTATAAAATCTCGACAAACATCATTAAAACTCTATCTCCATTTCCAAAATAAATCTAAAGAGAACAAAACAAAGTTTTGTGAGAGTTAAATGAAGATAATAAAGGAGGTACATTAGTAAAAGCATCCGGAGAGGAGGTAGGGTAATAAAGACACCCGAGGGGGAGGGGTAATTTCAACCCCCTCTTTCTCTCTCATTCTCGTGTCTCCACTTAATCTCTTAGTTTATTGCTCCCTACTTCCCTCCGAAACTTGATACTCCCTTACATCAGTTAAGATAATTGATCTTCATATAACATCTAGCCATGATACACTCCTACACTCCTTGACAGAGTTGATTGATGAGCCACAACATGCATTGACGTAGGTTTATTGCTACTGTCTTCATTCATTATTACCAATAATACAAATTGTACTACATGGACGGCAGAAAAATTATTGTGATCTATTGTAAAGTGTATGAGTACAATAATGTAAATATAGGCTGTTCAACTTAGAATTATATTTCGTACAATTTAGGAAAAAGAGTAGAAACCCAAATTTGAAATGCAAAATATTTTCATCGTGATTTAGCCTCCGGATAACCAATATTTCAATAAAGTGGTTTAAATACCTGCATTAAAGTTATCCAAAATGTTGCTCACGGCAACCGGTTTCAATCCACAATAGGGATCTTCATAAGGCTTGACATCCTGATCGGCCTACAAGCTGAGTCCGCTCTCCGTGTTCCTCTCTCGGCTGGCCGACTCCGCGCCTAGGAAAACCCGGCTTTATGAAGATCCCTATTGTGGATTGAAACCGGTTGCCGTGAGCAACATTTTGGATAACTTTTATGCAGATAAACCACTTTATTGCAAAATATTTGAATGACATTTTACTTATTTTGACAAAATAGATAAAGTACTGTACTTGAATGAGCTTCTGGAGACCAATCAAGAAACATTGCTTCTGTCGGGTAATACAGTAGTATTACGTTACTAGTCCTGAAAATATGTGCTAACCGAGCGAGACGAAGTCGAGTGGGGGTTTACGGAGTGTGTGGTTACACCATCGATATAGTGTTTATATATCGATGACACTGCCAACTTTTAATAAGGGAAACTAGATGTTACAAACTTGACTTTTGGCTTCAGAAGTAGACGTCCATTCTATTATTCTATAAGGACGAGCTGTTCCCCATGCTATATGAAATACTCCCGCCGCAGCAAACCTGCATACTAAGCGAATTTCCATTTGCCTGATTGGATTAAGTCTACAATATTTCCATAAAATATCACATTTATTCACCATTTAAATAACATTGGTTTAACGGGTACTTAAGTTTGCTGCAATAGGGAAGGTAAAAAAGTGTTTTTTGTTAAATTTTAATAGGACCAGTTTAGTATGAAATTAATACATTTTCCAAATTTGAACATATTTTTCGTAAAAAAAGCAAAATACATTAGTTTACTTATCCTACTAATCCTACTAATATTATAAATGAGAAAGTTTGGATGTATGGATGGATGTATGGATGGATGTATGGATGGATGTATGGATGGATGTATGGATGGATGTTTGTGACAAGTGAACGCGAAAAATACTGGTCGGATTGGGCTGAAATTTGGCATGATGATAGCTCACATTCCCGATTAACATATAGGCATATTCTTATTTCAAAAATCCTTTCGGGCTCCGCCCCAGTGGCTCTGGAGTTTCCCATGTTAACCTTATGAGAAATGGAATTATTGAATCTTAACAGCTGTTTCAATTAAACAAGTTGGTTCTGTTCTATGATGTTCAATAGCATTACAGTTACAAGGATTACCAACAGGGTGCAACACTGTTATTTCTTTTACATTTATGACAACAGCTAATTTGCAACCAAAAGGTGAGTGAGCGTAGCGAGTATATATGTAAATTAGAACGGTTGGTGTTTTTACCTCTGGGTACTTTAAAACGAAAAAGTAAATCGGGCCCATGTCCAGGTCTTACCATGAGTACTACGATGATAGTTTAAGCCCTATATGGGAAATTCGCTAAAAAGAATATAATCGAATGAACCGCTCACTTTTGATTCAAAAACTGACAAAAAGTCAATTATGTCAAATAATGTCAAAAGATTTAATCTATGGTCAAAGGTAAAATTTAAAAATCTTCGGTCAGGTCCAGTAAGACAACTTAAGAATTGGTTATAAAATAATAGTACTGTATCAAACACTGTACTGTAGCAAACAAGAAGACTCTTCCCAGCCTTATAAAAATGGAGTGTATTGATTATCCAGCGTATCGGTGATTGGTGTCGACGACCTGGATGGAGGTGGTTACAGTAACCACCGCTGATGGTATCGCACTGACAGCAAATATTTAATTTGAGAGCAATCAGGCCCGTGACCTGCGGGGTGTTAATGTAGAGGCGAACCGTCCGATGCCAACAACTACTACCAAGACTACCAGTGAACACAGAACAACCTACCATAATACAACGACATCATCCGTTACCAGTACCACAACAACTATTACCAAGACTACTAGTGAACACAGAACAACCTACAATAATACAACGACATCATCCGTTACCAGTAACACAACAACTATTACCAAGACTACTAGTGAACACAGAACAACCTACCATAATACCACCACATCATCCGTTACCAGTACCACAACAACTAATACCAAGACTACCAGTGAACACAGAACAACCTACCATAATACCACCACATCATCCGTTACCAGTACCACAACAACTAATACCAAGACTACCAGTGAACACAGAACAACCTACCATAATACCACCACATCATCCGTTACCAGTACCACAACAACTAATACCAAGACTACCAGTGAACACAGAACAACCTACCATAATACAACGACATCATCCGTTACCAGTACCACAACAACTATTACCAAGACTACTAGTGAACACAGAACAACCTACAATAATACAACGACATCATCCGTTACCAGTACCACAACAACTATTACCAAGACTACTAGTGAACACAGAAAAACCTACCATAATACTACCACATCATCCGTTACCAGTACCACAACAACTAATACCAAGACTACCAGTGAACACAGAACAACCTACCATAATACCACCACATCATCCGTTACCAGTACCACAACAACTAATACCAAGACTACCAGTGAACACAGAACAACCTACCATAATACCACCACATCATCCGTTACCAGTACCACAACAACTACTACCAAGACTACCAGTGAACACAGAACAACCTACCATAATACAACGACATCATCCGTTACCAGTACCACAACAACTATTACCAAGACTACTAGTGAACACAGAACAACCTACAATAATACCACCACATCATCCGTTACCAGTACCACAACAACTATTACCAAGACTACTAGTGAACACAGAACAACCTACCATAATACCACCACATCATCCGTTACCAGTACCACAACAACTAATACCAAGACTACCAGTGAACACAGAACAACCTACCATAATACCACCACATCATCCGTTACCAGTACCAACACAACTAATACCAAGACTACCAGTGAACACAGAACAAGTAAATCGGGCCCATGTCCAGGTCTTACCATGAGTACTACGATGATAGTTTAAGCCCTATATGGGAAATTCGCTAAAAAGAATATAATCGAATGAACAGCTCACTTTTGATTCAAAAACTGACAAAAAGTCAATTATGTCAAATAATGTCAAAAGATTTAATCTATGGTCAAAGGTAAAATTTAAAAATCTTCGGTCAGGTCCAGTAAGACAACTTAAGAATTGGTTATAAAATAATAGTACTGTATCAAACACTGTACTGTAGCAAACAAGAAGACTCTTCCCAGCCTTATGAAAATGGAGTGTATTGATTATCCAGCGTATCGGTGATTGGTGTCGACGACCTGGATGGAGGTGGTTACAGTAACCACCGCTGATGGTATCGCACTGACAGCAAATATTTAATTTGAGAGCAATCAGGCCCGTGACCTGCGGGGTGTTAATGTAGAGGCGAACCGTCCGATGCCAACAACTACTACCAAGACTACCAGTGAACACAGAACAACCTACCATAATACAACGACATCATCCGTTACCAGTACCACAACAACTATTACCAAGACTACTAGTGAACACAGAACAACCTACAATAATACAACGACATCATCCGTTACCCGTAACACAACAACTATTACCAAGACTACTAGTGAACACAGAACAACCTACCATAATACAACGACATCATCCGTTACCAGTACCACAACAACTATTACCAAGACTACTAGTGAACACAGAACAACCTACAATAATACAACGACATCATCCGTTACCAGTACCACAACAACTATTACCAAGACTACTAGTGAACACAGAACAACCTACCATAATACCACCACATCATCCGTTACCAGTACCACAACAACTAATACCAAGACTACCAGTGAACACAGAACAACCTACCATAATACCACCACATCATCCGTTACCAGTACCACAACAACTAATACCAAGACTACCAGTGAACACAGAACAACCTACCATAATACAACGACATCATCCGTTACCAGTACCACAACAACTATTACCAAGACTACTAGTGAACACAGAACAACCTACAATAATACAACGACATCATCCGTTACCAGAAACACAACAACTATTACCAAGACTACTAGCGAACACAGAACAACCTACAATAATACAACGACATCATCCGTTACCAGTACCACAACAACTAATACCAAGACTACCAGTGAACACAGAACAACCTACCATAATACCACCACATCATCCGTTAACAGTACCACAACAACTAATACCAAGACTACCAGTGAACACAGAACAACCTACCATAATACCACCACATCATCCGTTACCAGTACCACAACAACTAATACCAAGACTACCAGTGAACACAGAACAACCTACCATAATACAACGACATCATCCGTTACCAGTACCACAACAACTATTACCAAGACTACTAGTGAACACAGAACAACCTACAATAATACAATGACATCATCCGTTACCAGTACCACAACAACTATTACCAAGACTACTAGTGAACACAGAACAACCTACCATAATACCACCACATCATCCGTTACCAGTACCACAACAACTAATACCAAGACTACCAGTGAACACAGAACAACCTACCATAATACCACCACATCATCCGTTACCAGTACCACAACAACTAATACCAAGACTACCAGTGAACACAGAACAACCTACCATAATACCACCACATCATCCGTTACCAGTACCACAACAACTACTACCAAGACTACCAGTGAACACAGAACAACCTACCATAATACAACGACATCATCCGTTACCAGTACCACAACAACTATTACCAAGACTACTAGTGAACACAGAACAACCTACAATAATACAACGACATCATCCGTTACCAGTACCACAACAACTATTACCAAGACTACTAGTGAACACAGAACAACCTACCATAATACCACCACATCATCCGTTACCAGTACCACAACAACTAATACCAAGACTACCAGTGAACACAGAACAACCTACCATAATACCACCACATCATCCGTTACCAGTACCACAACAACTAATACCAAGACTACCAGTGAACACAGAACAACCTACCATAATACCACCACATCATCCGTTACCAGTACCACAACAACTAATACCAAGACTACCAGTGAACACAGAACAACCTACCATAATACCACCACATCATCCGTTACCAGTACCACAACAACTAATACCAAGACTACCAGTGAACACAGAACAACCTACCATAATACAACGACATCATCCGTTACCAGTACCACAACTACTATTACCAAGACTACTAGTGAACTCAGAACAACCTACAATAATACCACGACATCATCCGTTACCAGTAACACAACAACTATTACCAAGACTACTAGCGAACACAGAACAACCTACAATAATACAACGACATCATCCGTTACCAGTATCACAACAACTACTACCAAGACTACTAGTGAACACAGAACAACCTACAATAATACCACGACATCATCCGTTACCAGTACCACAACAACTATTACCAAGACTACTAGTGAACACAGAACAACCTACAATAATACAACGACATCATCCGTTACCAGTACCACAACAACTATTACCAAGACTACTAGTGAACACAGAACAACCTACAATAATACCACGACATCATCCGTTACCAGTACCACAACTACTATTACCAAGACTAATAAACGCTAGATTCGATTGTCAGTTCAATTCATGAATACACATCTCAACAACCTACAATAATACCAGTTTGTCCATTCATGGCACAAATCTTGCGCTGAAATGGGAAGCTAAATATGTATTTTTCGTTAAAGTCTTACAACCTTTCAGGTGTACTTCATCTAGGCGTGTACATTCAGTATTTGTTCTCCTCACTGTTTGCGACTGAGCACAGTAGAAGCGTCAGTTCTAAGCGTTCTCAGGCGTATCCATGAAGAGGTTCACAGGACGGTAATATATTACTGCACTGACCTATGACCAGTGACCACTCCTGCTTCCCGTCCTGTTATTCAGTGTTTAGCACAACATTGGTCTTAAAATAAAAACCTTGTTAAAAGTCGACTAAAAGAATGCCATGTTTTTTAAACTTTCTATCTTGAACCACATAACGATCTATTCCAGTAATGCAGATGTACAGAACAACCCTCCACCGGTCATAAGCTTTCTGCTTGTCGACAGCTTTGCAAAGTGATCTCCTCCATTTTTCTACGTCCTAAGTAAAGCAGCTGTCAACACTCGCAATATCAGCTGATTACTCTGACCCGAGACAGCTGAGCGGTTTAATAGCCTCGCTATTTTCGGCCGCATATCGCGATGTGTTTACACCTTGTGCTATTATCGGAGGCGTTGACAGTAGATTGCATAGCATCTAGCGCTAGACAGTTATGTGTTTTGGTAATGTAAAGCAAAGTGGTAAACTCGTTATGGGGTAAACACTGTTCACTTTGGATATTGAGTGTAACAATTTTCTATGACGTGTTCTACTGATGCAGCGTTCCTTTCGGCTCATTCTTCTTAGCTGGTTCTGACAATTTTCAGTTGGTTTACATTTGGTTTTTGGGTTACATTACTACTAGCATAATAGTGTAAAACTAACTAATGTTGGTATACAGTACTGTATTATAAAAGTTTGTTTGATAATTGATTACTACTTTTCAATGGTTCAAACACCATCCAATACCAATTTAAATCCAACCATAAATTCAGGAAAAATTCTTATATACCTCACAAATCATTATACTTCGTTCACATTATTTAGGCGGTTTTAGGGGAATACATGTATCTCCTCCAGTCTATCCTTACCTTGAAATAATAGTTCAACAGCTGATCAACCAACATACATTAAGTAGAAAAAAGTGGTGGGGGAACTTCCCTCAAACCACCTAAATATTGTGAACCGAGTATAGTTATAGTAACCTACTAATCCCAATGTAAAGTACAGTTAGTCGCTTAGCATATAGTCCAGTCAAGGAATGAGGTGTAGAGTGCGTGAGCAGGTAACTAAGCGATTCCTTCAGAAACTTGTTCAGGGGGCTTAGGGTGTTAACATACCAAAAGTCCTGACTCCTAGGTGGGGAGCCAGGGGGTGGAGGGGGGAAAAAGGGGGGGAAAAAGGTACGCATTTTGGGTTTTTTGATTATATCTCGAAAACTATCAACTTTTTGTATACTATAGTAAATTATAAAATTGAAGAAGATTAAATTTTCTACAAGAAAAGTATATAATGTGTTTATTATGGTTCAACAGATTACGAGTTATAACTTATTTAATTGATATCTTATTAAAATACTCCTTCCATAAGAAATACATGTAAATTAGTATGCGAAATGGGGCGAATCCTATCCGCCCAAAGGAAATATAACTGATATTCTGGAAATCTTGACAAAATTTCCAGTAATTTGACACTTTAATCATTAAAATTGATCCAAAATTAAGGCGAGGGCGAGGTAACAAAATGTCAAGTTTTGGTGTTTTTTTATTGGAAATATAAAAAAAAACTTAAATCATCCCATTTTTAAACGCTCACCCTCGCTTTAATTTTTGACAAAATTTCATGATTAAAGTGTCAAATTACTGGAAATGTTGTCAAGATTTCCAGAATATCAGTTATATTTCCTTTGGGCGGATAGGATTCGCCCCATTTCGCATACTAATTTACATGTATTTCTTATGGAAGGAGTATTTTAATAAGATATCAATTAAATAAGTTATAACTCGTAATCTGTTGAACCAAAATAAACACATTATATACTTTTCTTGTAGAAAATTTAATCTTCTTCAATTTTATAATTTACTATAGTATACAAAAAGTTGATAGTTTTCGAGATATAATAAAAAAACCCAAAATGCGTACCTTTCCCCCCCCCCTTTTCCCCCCCTCCACCCCATGGCTCACCACCTAGGAGTCAGGACTTTTGGTATGTTAACACCCTAAGCCCCCTGAACAAGTTTCTGAAGGAATCGCTTAGTTACCTGCTCACGCACTCTACACCTACTTTTGGATCATTCATTGACTGGACTAATAGCTTTGTATCGCTTTTCATTTGTAACTTGTAATACAACGTATATCGAAATGTTCCATATTGCTGCAGAGAGGAATGCGTCCAGCATGGGAGGTCCTGTAGACCACAGCTGGGAAGCATTTAGCAACTAAACCCTGTAATTAGAGCGCTAAACGCTGTCATCAGGCCCCCTAAGTCTCGGGTTCAAGTCCGGTGATTAACGTGACAAATATGCGGCGCCGGGTGTGGGACTTGTCAGCAAGGGGAGAGTAGAGTGACAGGTACCCCACAGGAGCATGGGACGTTTCCGGGAATCAGGGAAGTTATACATTTTTGTAAAATATAAAAAATTCATCAACAATATTCTCAACAATGCAAATGACCTGTGAAATTATTTCACATTGATAAAAAAGTAGTTGTCTATTTTAGTTTCACAATAGTTTTGTTTTTAATGGTACTGTTTGCCGTAGACCATTTTTCTGTGCCGGGATCTACAGTATATACAGTGAAGAGCCGTTGTACAGTTGTGGTGCGAGGTATAAAGACAAGCCAGCGGTTACAGCGGATATTGCAGGCAGTCCGATCTCGAGCTCAATGCCTCGCTTATCAGCCCAATACGCTACAAATGAGCTCTAATTGTGCTCCGCAATAGTTAATAGTCAGATCGACAGAGGATCGATTGCAACAAGAAATTGTTGACACTAAAAATACCAAAGGAAACTGCCACATTCTCCATTTGGAGATGTGAATTGCTCAAACCTCAAGCTTAAGTGAAATTCTACGTTCAACCTGCGTTAGTTTTACCATAACATTCATCATCTTTCTTTTTTGAAAAATGTAAACTTGGGGGTAATGTTGGAAAGACACTCTGCAGAGAATGGTAATTGTTTATAGAATCAGTGTAATGGTTCTGCTGGAGAAGTGTCTCCGCACCGATGTAATGGTCTCGGGTCCCCATTATGCCCGCCATTCGCGACGGCGACTGCAGTAATGTCACTGCTTCGTTTAGTTTTATAGCATTCAAATGTTATTAAGTATTACGCATTCATACAACGCTATTCCATCGCTAGTTAAAACACATTTTTTGAACTACGTGAACTGAAATTACAAACCTAGAAATACGCACTTTTTAAATTATAATTTTTTAGTTTTGTTCTTTATTTTTCAAATAAGTAACATGCAAGTAGAGGTCCACGAAGCCTATTTTATCTCACATCTGACCGTGATAAATTCAATGGTGATATTTAATTTATTAGACGGCAAAAACCTAACTGACGAAACATTAAGAAGTGGCTACTATATCTTTTACTGTTTCGCCTTGCCAGTTAATCATGACCAGGATCGGTGTTAAGCAACAATGGCAAGAATGGTGAACCATGAGTCTATGAATAGCACGCAGAATACTGATGTTAAATCACGCGGTGATTAGTAGTCAGTATAGCCTACAAATGTAAACACATTACCCATTTCGAAAAATGTAAGGCTTCTTAATATGTTTACATAAGGAATTGGTCTTAATGCATCTGTTGTGTTATGACTCGTATGGCATTATTCGTTTGCAGTTTAATGTTGGTTATAGCAAGATTATGTTAATAATTATTATGGACACAGGTTTTACGACGTTTTGGAACAAATGATCTGAACCCATCTTCAGTGGAGGGAGGAGCCTTAAAAATTACAAGATTTGTTCAAAATTATGTTAGTGCAATCAGTATAAACATTGAACTCAGTATGTGTGCGGTAATTTTAGATTTTACACTATTTAATTTGAAAACTCATAATATGTAATATTTCTCGATATCGCCAAAACTTTTAACATAACTCTTGTCCCAATGCGTGATAATACTCCACAGTGTTTATCAACGAATAATAGGCAATTTAATGCTTAATACTTTAATGCTATTTATAATTTAGTCACCTTAACATTTGATGTTAAATTATCCAACTAAATAAACATTATTTACGTTTTAAGTAATACGAGGTGTTAGCCCGTCCTACGTACGGGAGTAGTCAGTTAAAACTGTGTATAAATCAGAACAGCTAGCTTACACGTATAAAGACAAATTTTATAGCAGCCTACAGTAGAAAGAGTAATTATCAATTGAGAAGTGTATAGGCCTAGTCTACGATATCACCTTCCATTTCCATCGAATACCTGCCTCTTCCATAATCAATATCACCACAATACAACTACTCATACTATAGACAATTTCCAGTAGGCCTGAATATAAACTCCCTAAAATAAAACGAAAACATCCAATAAAATTCACAGTACACATAATTATAACGTCGGTGTCCTGACATCATTAAACGAATCGCCCACACATATCCTTTATATCAATTTCACTGCATCAATTGCTAAATAAATAAGTGTGAACAAAGAAAAGTAAAAACAACAACATATAGTTTGTTTTGGTAAACAGCTGAGTCAAAAATAAAATAATATTCATTTGAACAAAAGAACTGGTCACATGTTGAAGGAATTTAAAACGTAAAACACGCTAGTAAAGCTAGTGACGTAATTAATTGTCTATGTTTATTGTCCATCATGGTATCAGTTCTAATATCCTAAATAATTAAACCACCCTCATTGAATCAATGTACATCGTAATTCCCCATATTCATTTATTTAAACTATACAATATTCAGCGCC